TACTTCAGTATTATTTGCTGAGAGCAAACACTTATCGTCATTACACTAAAGTGCGGGTGTACATGTGATAATGCGGGCGCTCGCAATTTTTTCAGGTGAACATATAAAAGATCATATATTTGAACTGCGGAGAAAGATATAAAAATATGATTCATCATCGCAGTTATTATACACGCAACTCGGGCCTGAACGGGATTCGACCCTGAATTTTTTCTGGCTTTAATTTCACAACTACCTAAGTTGTGTATATAGCTACGATGATCAGTCATGTCTTCATATCTTTCTCCGCAGTTCAAATATATGATGTTTCATATGTTCACTTGCATTCTTTACCATCTACGGGTATATTACGAACTCACAACATGATCAGCTCCCAGTTGGCTTGATAGCTCAGTTGGTAGAGCACTGCACCGGTATCGCAGAGGTCATGGGTTCAAATCCCNCGTATCAGATTATCATTTTCCATTGTACATATCGATGAATGCATCACGGGGAACCATGACTGTGACGTGAACGCAAACTGTACCAACACTGTTGGCGGACATAACTGTTCTTGTAAGGAAGGATTTGCTGGAGATGGTCGCTCGTGTTTAGGTAAACTGTCTATTCGTGTAAAACTCGAACAGGCCGCGCTAAATGAAAACCGTCTACTTCATCTTTTGTATAGTATTTCACTGAGGACACACTCTCCTTGGGAAGTGGTTTGGCTTACTACATTGATTGATTTTAAAGATGCGCCGGCCGTGGTTTCTCAGAAAAAAAAACAACAAAAAAAAAAACAAGACTCAACGAGAACATCAATTTATGCTCTACTCAGTTCAACTATCATTACTTTATTATATGACGGAGGAATTAATTCAGTATTATTTGCTGAGAGCAAACACTTATCGCATTACACTAAAGTGCGGGTGTACATGTGATAATGCGGGCGCTCGCAATTTTTTCAGGCGAACATATAAAAGATCATATATTTGAACTGCGGAGAAAGATATAAAAATATGATTGATCATCGCAGATATTATACACGCAACTCGGGCCTGAACGGGATTCGAACCTGAATTTCATGCCTGAATTGTTTCTGGCTTTAATTTCACAACTACCTAAGTCTTCATATCTTTCTCCGCAGTTCAAATATATGATATTTCATATGTTCACTTGCATTCTTTACCATGTACGGGTATATTACGAACTCACAACATAATCGGCTCCGAGTTGGCTTGATAGCTCAGTTGGTAGAGCACTGCACCGGTATCGCAGAGGTCATGGGTTCAAATCCCGTTCAGGCCTGAATTTTTTTCAGGCTTTAATTTAACAACTGCTAAAGCTATGTATATAACTGCGATGATCAGTCATGTCTTCATATCTTTCTCCGCAGTTAAAATATATGATCTTTCATTTATTCACTTGCAAAGAAGAGTCTATTAGTCAGTCCAGGATAAACTGCATGCGCATGCTCAGAATGTCGCCATTTTCCCTCAAAATAGGGGCAAAACCAAACATGCAAGATTCACTCGCACTCAGTGATCATGTTGTCCCTCGCAAAACAAAAAAAATAAAAATAAAAAAATAAAACGCAACCTGAAAAAACAGCAATTTTTGGCTGCCATCTTACTGTGAAAGTCAAAAAGCCCTGAACACTTTAATTTGAGTTTTGAAAAACCGTTTGGTCGTTCCCATAGAATCGTCCTGCCGGGATGCATCAACTGATTGTGAACCTCACAAAGGTATTGATTAACTACCCTTTGTATAATGTTACATGGGAAACAATTTTTCATAAGAATAGATGTTAATTGTTGGATGTTGGTGTGAAAGCCGCTTCAAGTGTTGTTGATTTTGAAGGCCCTGTCCAATGGGAACAATTTTGTAAGAAACGGGTGTAAAACTGAAAAAATTAGTGAGCAGCCCCGTGTACGTTTTTTTCCGAAACACTGATGTTGCTAGAAAATCGGGATGACTGTTGTCAACGAGTACATCCAGAAAGGGTAGTTTATGGTTGTCCTCTTTCTCCATAGTGAACTTGATGTTAGTATGTTCTGAGTTGATGAAATCAAAAAATTGTGAGGCGTCATTATCGTTGTTAAATAAGCAAAACGTATCGCCCACATATCTGCGATAGAAAAGAACTTCAGGACCCTTGTATTTTTGTAACCAATCTTTCTCATGGTCACCCATAAAAAGATTGGCAAGAACGGGTGCGAGGGGAGAACCCATAGGTACACCGTCCGTTTGATCATAAAAGTTGCCGTTAAATGAAAAGTGGGTCTCGGCAGTAGCGAACAGAAATAATATTTTAAGACAAGACCCATTCAATCTGTGCATGCCCTCCACATTTTCGCAAGTCTGACATTTACACCTGCTACACCAACTCATTCACCGCTCTATGTTTAGGAATATTGTTGACAAAGGACAGTCTGGAAAACTCAAAGCCGACCTTTCTCATCTTGCAAATGTTTACGCTTCCTCTTATCGACCTTCTCAGAATTACGTTAAAACCTCACGCATTCTGAAGCGGTTAAGACAGAACAAGAACATTGTCATATTAAAACCGGACAAGGGAAATGGTGTGGTCTTTTTTGATAGAGCGACGTACGACAACAGCATTTTGGACATTATCTCAGACAGCTCTAAATTTAGACAACTTAAAGCTGATCCTACAATGACAAGAGGGAGTAAGTTGCAACGTTTCCGTGTTTCGGAAAAAAAAAACGTACACGGGGCTGCTCACTAATTTTTTCAGTTTTACACCCTTTTCTTACAAAATTGTTCCCATTCATACATTAGTGGACAGGGCCTTCAAAATCAACAACACTTGGAGCAACTTTCACACCAACATCCAACAATTAACATCTATTCTTATGAAAAATTGTTTCCCATGTAACATTATGCAAAGGGTAGTTAATCAATACCTTTGTAAGGTTCACAATCAGTTGATGCATCCCGGGAGGACCATTCTATGGGAACGACCAAACGGTTTTTCAAATTATCTTATACTAGCCCCTTTCCCTCGTAGCGCAACGTAAAATCAAAATCATCGCTAAGACATATTGTAAGGATTTAGACATTAGGTTAGCCTTCTCTTCCTATAAGTTAAGTAACATGTTCAGTTTGAAGGACTCGATCCCCCATACGCTCCGTTCCCAGGTGGTTTAAGAATTTACATGTGTAGGATATCATACCTGTTATGTCGGTGAAACCACTAGAAATTTTGGCACTAGGGTTCGTGAGCACTTACTCTTGGATCGCACTTCCCATATCTATAAACATCTTCAGGGTTCTAAGTCATGTAAGAATCTATGCTCATTTAATTGCTTTTCCATCTTACACTCGGCTAATTTCCAACTTAAGATCAAAGAAGCTATTCATATTGAATGGGAACGACGCGCATCGAATAAACAACTCAAACATGTTAATTTAACACTCTTACTTCAATTACTATTTGTATTCAGCATTTTTCACAGTTTTGTACTCGCACTTTTTTAGTTTCCTACTCTGTTGTATCCCTTAAGTATTATGTAACTTTTTCACTGTTTTGTAACTATTATTCTCCATTTTGTAGTTTACACCTTCTTGTTACCTACTTTATATAAAGTCACTCACTTGTAAACATCCTTTAACTGAAGATGGATTTTGAGTATCCGAAACATGTCTTGCAAATTTAAAAGGTGTGTAATCTTTTTTAAATGTTTTATTTCAATCTTACTGCTACGAAAATTTGGAAATGTTTATATACGTTAAAATAAAGATGTCACATCTTAAATATTCTATCCTAAAGTCCAGCTGACCGATGCTAGCGGATCTTTCAGTCAATCATGTGTTACAATCATGATTTGGTGATATCTTGGAGCTAAACGAACGCGTACCTCGGTAAATGTCATGGTTGTAAATCTTTTCGAATAGCTTTTATACTCTTTTGGCTCTACCTAGTTTTCTCAGCTGACAATAACTGACACTTACATGTAACAGGGAGCGTAGATTTGACGGATTTCAACGAAACTTGGCCAAAGTATTCCTTGATTATCTATACCCCAAAATGTGTCGAAGGATTTCTTGATATTTCAAATACTTCCTCTTTAAGGCTCTCTCAAGTGACGAAGATCGGCAAATACTCTGTTCGTCTAGTTCACAATAGAATTTCTCAGAAACCAAAAAACATATCGAAAATGCCTCACGCCATTTTGTAATCCGCCATCTGCTGATTGACATGGTGCAGATTGTTTGGCCGTACGTACGAACGAACACGAAGGTAGGTAATTCAGTTCAACAATCATTGTCAGTCATGTGTTTGAAGGCTTGTGCGTAGTAGCCAATCCAAGAATCTACATTTTATTAGCTGGACGGTTTTGTATGCTGCTCAGTGGTAAAAGAGATGTGAATGCAAAGGTTTTCCTGAAATAAACCCGTATTTTATTGCACGATGCGTTCGCTGAAAAGCTAGTTCTCTCCTGTATCGCGTATTATTGCCAAAAAACTCGGAAGGTATTTTCCTAAAAAGGTAAGTTGAGGTTACTGTAGACCTTCGCAGGATAATTTGCGCCACAATTTTTGTTTTTCGCTCATGGTGAAAAAAATTACATAATTGCGTGAAACTAGATGCTAAGAGCGTTTACTCGGGCTTGGTATCTCAATCTCAAATGGTACTCCTTGCAATAAAGAAACTGAACATAATACATATTAGACAGGGAGCAATAAGTCGCTTAAAGAAAATAAAACGACTTTACTGCCACAGATTAGGAAATCCCTCTCGAATGCGCGTTATTCTTCAAGGATCTTTATTTTAAGATGAAAACTGACTCGATTCTTCCACAAAGTGACTAATTGTTCTCAGAGAACGACACCGTTTCAAGAAACGAAGAACGTGATTCCATTGAAGGTCCCTTAACTCAGCTGGAAAGCCTTAGTCTGTCCACAGACCATTTATTTTGTCTTGAGTTCGTCGAAGATCGCAAGGAAAACATCAACCAAGTTCGAATAGAACGTCTGCCAACTTTCGTTTTGCGACTCCTTTGAGAGTAATTTTAATAAACTCGGAAATGTACGATGCTTTGCCAAAATTGCATGGCGGAATAATAAATGAACAAAGCTGTCTGCAGAAATCAGACGGTTCCGAATGTTTGGGCCTCTTTTAGCTTCTTTTAGATGAATTTATCGCTGTTGAAGTAGCTTGCAGAGGCTTAACGCGAACAAATAACTCTAACAATCAATTTTACTGGCTGAGTTTAATTTGTATACTCTGGAATGAAATGATAAAGATGAGGGGATGACAAGGGGTGGGAGACAAAAAAGCATCTTTTTTTCTCCAGAAGCCTACCGACGTTTTATGTATTGTTTGCGCTCGCTTCGCGATCGCTTTTGGGCTCGGCGCTCGATCGCGCGCTCGAAGAGAAATAATTTGCTAAAAACAACAGCAGATGTCTGTGGAAAGAATGGGAATGACTTAAGGCTTTAAAAGATATGGAACCGCAGACAAAAGCCTGGGAACAGATGGCTTGTTATTACTGAATAGCTACAAAAGCGATTGCATATCATTAAAATTGGCATCAGTCCTGACCAAGTTTCTAAAGTTAGTCTTTTTATTTGTGTATATACAGTTATCTCCATACAGTTACAAATTGAAAGACCAGGAAAATGCTCTGGACCGTTAACCTATGTATTTTTCTCTTCGCCGGCTTCTTTATGGACTGCGTGTCTGCTGGTGAGCAATGCAGAGTGGAACGGAGCATAAATGGAATGGCTCTACAAGGATTCGTCTTTAAAAAATTCCTCGTAAGAGCGTTTCACGAGTGTGATTTCAGCTGTGAAAAAGAAATCACCTGTCAAAGCTACAACTACGTCAAATGGGAAAAGTCGTGCGAATTGAATAACCGCACCAAGGAGGCAAGACCGGAAAACTTTCGCTCAGACCCGGCACGTTCTTACATAAGACGCTTGATGGAAAGGGGTATGTAAAAAAAAGAAAGATAAGAGAGCTTTAGCACGGACGTTTTTGAGAGGCGGACATTAACCAGCTGAATCCGAGTGCTAATTTCTTTGGCACGTTTTATCGACTTTTGTTGAAGACGACAAGTTTTTAATGCTTAAATAAGAGCTTTGAAACGTACTGGTGAGGGTTAAAAGCACTAATATGAACTCCCAGTTGCCGTCCTTGGATCGGAAACGTTTGCACAATACCTGAAACTCCCCGTCCTCCCGAGGGTCTAATGCTCGTTAACAACACCTTGAAAGTATTTTCCTTTGAAAAGAATGGCCAAGAATCTCTTAACTCCTGACAAATTTTACCTGGCCCCATTTGAAAAATTTACGCATATTTCATTCCGTGAAGTTCTCTAGGTAACGGTGTTAAATAACTTATGATATCAAACACAGGCTGAAATGTTTGGGTAACACAGTTTGTTGACTAGCAGAAAGAGAGGCGAGAGCAATTGCAATACACTAAGCCAAGGTTGGTGTGGACGGGTAGGCGATGACGGGGTCGAAAGTGACTGAACTTTGAAACGATCTGAAAGCTGATACACTGAGACAGTTAAAAGACAAGCTGATAAGGAGCGTGTTCACTCTAGTAATTACCAATCATCATGCACCTACAGTGATCCTTGGTCTTGTTTTCTTTTTTCATATATATATATCCAAGCCCCTCTAGGTTCCATTCCGGAGCTCCCAGCGCATTCGTGTCAGGAAATAAAGGCAAGCGAAGGCAAGGACACCATTAGCAGCAAGTACTGGCTGGATCCAAATGCGAATGGAACGGCAGTCTTGGTTAATTGTGACATGGACTTAGAAGGTTATTGACAGTCAGCTTTCATGTCACTTCCGTGTTGTTTTGAGTATAGCTTTGGTTTTGATGCTGTTGATGTCTTATTTGTTTGAAATAGAATTAGACTCCTGCACTTCTCCTTCAGTATCATAGCATTTTGATCTACTTAAAATCAAAATGTAAAAGTTAAATTTTTTTTAATTGTTTGCCATATAGATGTTGATGAATGTCTCAACGGTATTCATGACTGTGACGCAAATGCAAACTGCATCAACACTGTCGGCGGACATAACTGTTCTTGTAAGGAAGGATTTGCTGGAGATGGTCGCTCATGTTCAGGTAAAGTTGAAAATTAAACGAGACTTACCTGTAAGTTGAAGTTCTATTGGAATTCTATCCGTCACCAAGCATTGAGGGATTACATGAGATAGCATTGCGCCTGCGCGACCTCAGTTTTTAAAGCACTTACCATGTGTGCAGTGGAGAAACTCCCAGTAAAAATATGGGTGAGGGCTTGAGAAGGGAGGGCATGTAATCCCTCAATGCTTGGTGACGGATAGAATTCCAATCAAACCTCAACTTACAGTAAGTCTCGTTTAATTTTCAAATTCTATTCAGTCATCGCATTGAGGTCTTACATAAGACTTTAAAGCACACTGCACACATGTAACAAACTCCACACAGAATCCATATTCTGTAACACAACACTTGGTCTGCAGAGTATCTATGACACAATAATCCCCTAGTCTACAGATTTCAAACATTTTCTGTAAAATTGTCATCAACATCAACAGGTTATTTGTAAAACTTAACAAATGTGGAGGCTGAACTCCACTCAGATGTTGACATAATCTGTATATAATTGCTTTGGATGTGTCTACAGCACTAGCATTAAGAGGCCGGAACAGTTCAACATTTATCCCAGACCTGTGCATAACAACCATAGCCCTTTCAAAAATTGTTCTTCAGAAACTGGCCTAATGATCCAATGAGCAATGCCTTAATGTCACCATGTTTGTATCTTGTGCAAGCTAAGTACATCCTTAGAGTAGTGATCACAAAAATGTAAGGATCAGGAGGATATGAAGTAAACTCGATTAGCATTAGCTTAACTCCTGGTTCGGATTGTTTGAAGTTTCTTCAAGATAAACATAATCAAAGTTTCTGAACTTATCATATCATCAAGGTTAAGATAATGAATAGTTTGGCCTCTTTTGGCAGATAGAACCGTTACAGTTTTTAAGATCAGGTCCCTTTATGATAAATCCTCTGAGTTATATATTGTCTCGAGGTAGCAAAGTACCTTGCCAACGTCCCGTATAAGTGTGTATCATGGTGTTGTGGGTTTTCGTTCAAAAAACCCTTCTGAGGTACCTTGTAACTGTAGGATGAGAGCCAAGGGATTGATAATGCACGACAAATAAGATCTGGCAGTGTCTATACCACTATATCCTATTCCATTTTTAAACAGCTCAACTAGAAAATCTAATGCTCGGGATAAAGTGGGGGAAACAAAATCGATTTGTTGGCTACCACAACATTTATCCACTTCCTAATGTAAGATGAGTACTGTTTAAGAGTTCCATGTCTCCAAAATTGTAGGATGATGTCCTCAGCCCTCTTAAAAATTCCCTGCACTTCAAGGGATTCCCTGATAATCTGCAAACCATCAGGAACATTGTCTTTATTAATGGACGAAACTCATCTTCTTTCCCTGGCACTTTGAGCATGGTCATGATCAGTTGCTGTGGAAATGTCCTTGGCACATCTACTCTCAGGTGCACCAGCTGTACATGGCTGGGTAGGTCGAAGGGAACAATCATTATGCCCTCTGCTTCCGCCCTCGCTATCTTGCCGGAAATGAGCAATCAAACTAAATGGGAGAAAAGCATAGAAAAAATTGTGTTTCCCATGTAATCGAAAAAACATCTACATAAGTTGTGCCAGGATCAGGTCCCCAGAATGCATAACAAGACAACTGTGCATTTGGCCTAGAGACAAAGAGATCAAGAGATGATGGTTCAACCAGATTTTTGTAACTTGCTGAAATATGTCTGGTCTTAACAATTCCACTCCTTATTATTAGTAAAATCTCTAGACTTTCTGTGAGCCTGAGTATTATTCTTCCCTCAGTGGGAGAAGAGCAGCAAAAATCCAGATCTGTCTCTCAATACAAAACTGCCAGATATCTTAAGCAGCGGAGTTGCACTCTATGGAATGTGTACCTCCCATAGAATTAAGACAGTTAACACTGGTTGTATTGACCAAATAAATGCAAATATCGGCACTTTTCATTCTACTGTAGAAAGCTTTCAAACCAAAAACTACAGCCATGAGTTCAAGGCAATTAATGTTATTCTTTGGTTCAGTTTCAGTCCTTCTGCTTCCTGTTTTTCAATGCACATGACTGCATCCTAACCCTTGTGTGAAGCGTGTACAGGGTTATGTTGCATTTGGGGTACAAAGAGGACAGTCAGCTTTCTCAATATTATCTCACCACCATTGTAATTCTGAAAAGCTATTTTCTTTTTAAATTGATATAGTTACACTGTTAATAAGCCCAAGGTACTGCTTTGGGAGAGAGACACAGTTATACTGAGAGAATTCAGAACAAAATCCCGGAGAAAAACAAGTGTCTCTACTGGTCCAAGCACTAATTTCACAGAGTGTACAGGACACCCCAATTTTGTAAATCAGCAACAAGTATCAGTAAGATTAGACTGACATTCATGTATCGTACCTCCTTGTAGATACGAGTCCTCAATATACCTCACATTTAAATGCCTTTTCTCTCTAAGAGTGGCATAAACAGGTTTTGAGATTTTTGTAAACAGGCGTAGGGCACAAGAAAGTCCATAAGATAAACAAGTCAACTGAAGTAATTTTCCTCCCCAGTTGAACTTAACTTTTAATATTTCTCATCAATGGGCACCAAGTAATAAGCAACCCTTAGATCAACTAGTGTCCAGTAGCAATTTCTTTTCATGAGCCGGTTAGCAGATTGCAGAGTATCCATCTTGAGATGGTACTGCGCATGCTCATTAAGGTTTTTTCGATTTAATGAGCATATAAGTGCCGTCTTTCTTAGGGCGGATGAACATAGTAGAAATATAGTAGAAACATATTCCCCTTCACAATGGGTAGTTTCTTAAATAACTCCTTTATATACATCAATTTTACAATTTCACTCTGAGCATTGTGTTGTTCCCGAAGGGATCGCATATTTCCCTTCGAATAGCATGTTGCTGTGGAAACTCAACGGCAATTTCAATTTTCTAGTGAGCGATACTATAAAGAATAAAGGGGCCAGAAGTAACATTCTCTCACTGTGATGAAATTTCTTTCAGTCGCTGGCTGCAATACAGTCATTAGAAATATACAGTATGGGGTCAGGCAAATAACCCACTTCTTGTGTTGACCTTTTTCCCAACATGGTTGACTGCTGTCAAGTACTTTACCTGCTTTGGTAAATCATTCCCAAACAGTTAATCTGTGATTGGGATGGATGAGGAGCATTAATGCATATAACCATTATGTAAGTCAAGCTTTATCAACTCTCCACGCCTGTGATAAAGCTCACTGCCAACAAAGCAAAGACATCTGTAGCCTCTTGAAGCAGCTCACTTCCCACAGGTAGTGGTACTATTTGCTCAACAAGCTTGTTAATCATGCATGTCATGGCACATTTGCCTTTAAACAAAGACGTTTGTACCTTTTGTACTTTAACGTCTTGTGAACTTACAGATGGGCTCAAATTATCCCATACAGCCTGGTTTACACATACTTTTGTCAGGCCTTCCCAATTCTCAGGGCGACAATATTTGTTTATCTTTTCCGAGGGTTTCCCTGTAGCAGTCTGTTTTTCATAATGTATTTATGTCGCTTGCCAGTTCTGAGTTCACATTCGGATCAGTTTCCTCCTTCTGTAGATGCTGTTGCTGCTAAGCACTTTGCTTTTACCCTCATTAGAGGAAGGATAGGAGGTGTCAAGCAACCGGGCGACAGACGCGTCCAAATTTATAATGATGATACACTTCTGTCTTTTGCCATTAGCCTCTTCCCGCGTCTACAGAGACACCGGTGCAGTGCTCTACCAACTGAGGTATTAAGCAATCCGGGAGCTGGTCACTTTGTGAGTTTGTAATATATCCGTAGATGGTGAAGAAAGCAAGTGAATATATGAAAGATCTTTTATTTGACAATTGCTTAAGTTGGGGAGAGGCTATTTTGCGAGTCTGCGAGCTCGAGCCTGGAGCCACGAGCCGAGAACCAAGAGCCACGAGTCTCTTTTTCCGAGCCGAGAAAGATTCCCGCCAAAAAATCCAGAAAACGGGCATAATGCCCTAATATTGTATCTATTACATGCGCGGTGCTTCCACTGACCCCAGATGGACCGGTCAGAGACCAGTGGGAATACCCAAGGAAAATGGAACGACATTTTTCAATCAAACCGGGCCAACAAAGAGGAATGGCTTTTACCATTTTAAATTCCTTTTCCGAATTCTCTACATAAGTGAAGAGAAGTAGGGTAATGAAGCGGTTTGTCAAAAATGGAACGGCAAATTTCGGTCGGACCGGTCCGACCGAAATAAGTGGACCACTTCCAGAGGTGATCCCGAATATTCCTGTCAGGAGGAACCGAAACGGACCATTCCATTTGACTTCCGATCGAAATTTCCGGAATCTTTGACATAATGGAAGTACCCGCGGTCTTCTGTCGGAAATTGTGCACTACCTACAGAGGTAGTCCTCTTTTTCCGTTGGGAACGGAACGACGGAAATTTCCTTGCAATTTGGTAAATTCTCCAGTTTCCAGTCTCTCATCAGCCGAAAAAAATTGGCAAATGGTAAGCGCCATCTCGTTCGGGTGGTTTGCTGATTTTGGGAAAACCCTCACCATTATTCAACGGTCATTCCAACCNATAAATCCTCTGAGTTATATATTGTCTCGAGGTAGCAAAGTACCTTGCCAACGTCCCGTATAAGTGTGTATCATGGTGTTGTGGGTTTTCGTTCAAAAAACCCTTCTGAGGTACCTTGTAACTGTAGGATGAGAGCCAAGGGATTGATAATGCACGACAAATAAGATCTGGCAGTGTCTATACCACTATATCCTATTCCATTTTTAAACAGCTCAACTAGAAAATCTAATGCTCGGGATAAAGTGGGGGAAACAAAATCGATTTGTTGGCTACCACAACATTTATCCACTTCCTAATGTAAGATGAGTACTGTTTAAGAGTTCCATGTCTCCAAAATTGTAGGATGATGTCCTCAGCCCTCTTAAAAATTCCCTGCACTTCAAGGGATTCCCTGATAATCTGCAAACCATCAGGAACATTGTCTTTATTAATGGACGAAACTCATCTTCTTTCCCTGGCACTTTGAGCATGGTCATGATCAGTTGCTGTGGAAATGTCCTTGGCACATCTACTCTCAGGTGCACCAGCTGTACATGGCTGGGTAGGTCGAAGGGAACAATCATTATGCCCTCTGCTTCCGCCCTCGCTATCTTGCCGGAAATGAGCAATCAAACTAAATGGGGGAAAAGCATAGAAAAAATTGTGTTTCCCATGTAATCGAAAAAACATCTACATAAGTTGTGCCAGGATCAGGTCCCCAGAATGCATAACAAGACAACTGTGCATTTGGCCTAGAGACAAAGAGATCAAGAGATGATGGTTCAACCAGATTTTTGTAACTTGCTGAAATATGTCTGGTCTTAACAATTCCACTCCTTATTATTAGTAAAATCTCTAGACTTTCTGTGAGCCTGAGTATTATTCTTCCCTCAGTGGGAGAAGAGCAGCAAAAATCCAGATCTGTCTCTCAATACAAAACTGCCAGATATCTTAAGCAGCGGAGTTGCACTCTATGGAATGTGTACCTCCCATAGAATTAAGACAGTTAACACTGGTTGTATTGACCAAATAAATGCAAATATCGGCACTTTTCATTCTACTGTAGAAAGCTTTCAAACCAAAAACTACAGCCATGAGTTCAAGGCAATTAATGTTATTCTTTGGTTCAGTTTCAGTCCTTCTGCTTCCTGTTTTTCAATGCACATGACTGCATCCTAACCCTTGTGTGAAGCGTGTACAGGGTTATGTTGCATTTGGGGTACAAAGAGGACAGTCAGCTTTCTCAATATTATCTCACCACCATTGTAATTCTGAAAAGCTATTTTCTTTTTAAATTGATATAGTTACACTGTTAATAAGCCCAAGGTACTGCTTTGGGAGAGAGACACAGTTATACTGAGAGAATTCAGAACAAAATCCCGGAGAAAAACAAGTGTCTCTACTGGTCCAAGCACTAATTTCACAGAGTGTACAGGACACCCCAATTTTGTAAATCAGCAACAAGTATCAGTAAGATTAGACTGACATTCATGTATCGTACCTCCTTGTAGATACGAGTCCTCAATATACCTCACATTTAAATGCCTTTTCTCTCTAAGAGTGGCATAAACAGGTTTTGAGATTTTTGTAAACAGGCGTAGGGCACAAGAAAGTCCATAAGATAAACAAGTCAACTGAAGTAATTTTCCTCCCCAGTTGAACTTAACTTTTAATATTTCTCATCAATGGGCACCAAGTAATAAGCAACCCTTAGATCAACTAGTGTCCAGTAGCAATTTCTTTTCATGAGCCGGTTAGCAGATTGCAGAGTATCCATCTTGAGATGGTACTGCGCATGCTCATTAAGGTTTTTTCGATTTAATGAGCATATAAGTGCCGTCTTTCTTAGGGCGGATGAACATAGTAGAAATATAGTAGAAACATATTCCCCTTCACAGTGGGTAGTTTCTTAAATAACTCCTTTATATACATCAATTTTACAATTTCACTCTGAGCATTGTGTTGTTCCCGAAGGGATCGCATATTTCCCTTCGAATAGCATGTTGCTGTGGAAACTCAACGGCAATTTCAATTTTCTAGTGAGCGATACTATAAAGAATAAAGGGGCCAGAAGTAACATTCTCTCACTGTGATGAAATTTCTTTCAGTCGCTGGCTGCAATACAGTCATTAGAAATATACAGTATGGGGTCAGGCAAATAACCCACTTCTTGTGTTGACCTTTTTCCCAACATGGTTGACTGCTGTCAAGTACTTTACCTGCTTTGGTAAATCATTCCCAAACAGTTAATCTGTGATTGGGATGGATGAGGAGCATTAATGCATATAACCATTATGTAAGTCAAGCTTTATCAACTCTCCACGCCTGTGATAAAGCTCACTGCCAACAAAGCAAAGACATCTGTAGCCTCTTGAAGCAGCTCACTTCCCACAGGTAGTGGTACTATTTGCTCAACAAGCTTGTTAATCATGCATGTCATGGCACATTTGCCTTTAAACAAAGACGTTTGTACCTTTTGTACTTTAACGTCTTGTGAACTTACAGATGGGCTCAAATTATCCCATACAGCCTGGTTTACACATACTTTTGTCAGGCCTTCCCAATTCTCAGGGCGACAATATTTGTTTATCTTTTCCGAGGGTTTCCCTGTAGCAGTCTGTTTTTCATAATGTATTTATGTCGCTTGCCAGTTCTGAGTTCACATTCGGATCAGTTTCCTCCTTCTGTAGATGCTGTTGCTGCTAAGCACTTTGCTTTTACCCTCATTAGAGGAAGGATAGGAGGTGTCAAGCAACCGGGCGACAGACGCGTCCAAATTTATAATGATGATACACTTCTGTCTTTTGCCATTAGCCTCTTCCCGCGTCTACAGAGACACCGGTGCAGTGCTCTACCAACTGAGGTATTAAGCAATCCGGGAGCTGGTCACTTTGTGAGTTTGTAATATATCCGTAGATGGTGAAGAAAGCAAGTGAATATATGAAAGATCTTTTATTTGACAATTGCTTAAGTTGGGGAGAGGCTATTTTGCGAGTCTGCGAGCTCGAGCCTGGAGCCACGAGCCGAGAACCAAGAGCCACGAGTCTCTTTTTCCGAGCCGAGAAAGATTCCCGCCAAAAAATCCAGAAAACGGGCATAATGCCCTAATATTGTATCTATTACATGCGCGGTGCTTCCACTGACCCCAGATGGACCGGTCAGAGACCAGTGGGAATACCCAAGGAAAATGGAACGACATTTTTCAATCAAACCGGGCCAACAAAGAGGAATGGCTTTTACCATTTTAAATTCCTTTTCCGAATTCTCTACATAAGTGAAGAGAAGTAGGGTAATGAAGCGGTTTGTCAAAAATGGAACGGCAAATTTCGGTCGGACCGGTCCGACCGAAATAAGTGGACCACTTCCAGAGGTGATCCCGAATATTCCTGTCAGGAGGAACCGAAACGGACCATTCCATTTGACTTCCGATCGAAATTTCCGGAATCTTTGACATAATGGAAGTACCCGCGGTCTTCTGTCGGAAATTGTGCACTACCTACAGAGGTAGTCCTCTTTTTCCGTTGGGAACGGAACGACGGAAATTTCCTTGCAATTTGGTAAATTCTCCAGTTTCCAGTCTCTCATCAGCCGAAAAAAATTGGCAAATGGTAAGCGCCATCTCGTTCGGGTGGTTTGCTGATTTTGGGAAAACCCTCACCATTATTCAACGGTCATTCCAACCAGCATCAATTTACATGTCCAAATTTTGGCTTATGCGCATGCCTGGAATTGAAATATTGCTCAATTTTGTACCTAATCCTCGAAAAATCTCTCCTTTTAGTTAAAAAAGCTTTCTTAGCAAAACTTAGGCTTATTTAGCGTCATGGCAGCTAAAAAAACCTGACTAAACGGTTAAAAACGGTATTTTTTGGCGAAAGTTTGGTATTTAAAGGGTTAAGTTGTGCGCATAACTGCGATGATCAATGATGTCTTCATCTTAGTGTTATCATATGTATTCGTGATAAAAGTACAGAAAGACTTTCTGCGGCCTCTTTTTCGAATGTAAAATAACATACAGACAGCCTACTAACGAAATAAATCGTAGCCCTTAAGAGTACGAGTAAAGAATTATTCATTTTGTTTACACCTGCGGCCGCAATATTAAACTTCCAGCATGGGTTTTAGACGAGATTGTTTATTTTTCCGTTTAGCTTACAAGAACAACTGCGCTGAAATCTACAAATCTGGTGAAAGAAAAGACGGTGTGTACACCATTAAACCTGACAATCTGTCTGCCTTTGATGTGTTTTGTGACCAAACAACAGCCGGTGGAGGGTGGACAGTGTTTCAGAAGAGGCTGAACGGCTCGGTTGATTTTTTCCTTAATTGGAGCGATTACAAAGTTGGTTTTGGTGACCTGAATGGTGAATTTTGGCTCGGACTGGACAAAATTCACCGCCTTACCTCAGATAATGACAGCATGCTGCGTGTGGATTTGGAAGACTTTGAAAGGAATACTTCTTATGCCGAGTACAACAGGTTCGGTGTTATGAGTGAGAATGACAAGTACAAGCTGAGCTTCGGCAATTACTCAGGTAGGAAGGTTTTCTTTATCATCTTGCACTGCACAGGCTGCCCAAACCTCGCGGCGTAAAAGTGCTGTACTTCAGACTGTTAGAACTGAACAGCAAGAAAACTATATTATGAGGCTTTTGTACTTGGTTTGATTATGTCAACATTAGTCCAATCCCTGAACTCTCCCTTGCCCGCTCCATAAAGGGGTTGAACCGAGGCGGGAAAACGTAGGGTCCAGGAATCAGTCCAGGATAAATTGCATGCGCATGCTCAGAATACCGCTATTTCCACCAAAAATCGGGGCAAAACCAAATATATAAAATTCTCGCGCGCCCAGTGATCATGTTATCACAAGCAAAATAATAACAATAATAATAATAATAATAATAATAATAATAATAATAATAATAATAATAATAAGCAGAACCTTTAGAAAACTGAGCATAGCTAAAAGCTAACCGCTAAAACAGCAATCCTAAGCTGCCATCTTACTGGAAAGTCAAAAAGCCGTGAACACTTTAATTTGATTCTTGACATGTCTGTTGTGTAGCCACCAATCAGATGCGAATTTAAACCACAAAGAACTCCATCAGTCACGAAACCACACTTCGATCGTTTTTCCTTCCAAAAGATGGTTTTATAATTCTCAACCTTGTGTTTGGTGGTGTAGTTGAACATGCTGAATTCGTCATTTGAACGAGCAATTAAAGTCCTAGCGCACATTCTGATTGATTCGCTGTGAGCATGCGCACGTAGGTTATCCTGGACTCATTCTCGTCCCTGATGCTACTCGTCTTAACATGACGTTGACGTGTAGCTCTGGACGCACCAAAAAATTCGAATTTTCTTATTATTAGCTGACAAAAAATTAATACGCAAAAGAAAAGAAAATTAAAAATCTTTACACATTACATTTTTACTTCCGGCCCGGATGGCGGCACCTTCGCTGGTGCGCTTTACGAAAAAAAAGCAAAACAAATGGCTACCATTCCCGATCGTTCGGAAGGTATGGTAAACGTTTCCGCGTAACCAAAGCAGTACATCGCCTGCAACGATATCATTCTCGATCGTAATCATCGTTTTTTGTTGTAGCAGCCCAGAAGGTGAGAAGAAACATTTAAAACTCTCAGAATTCAGCCAGCTAATAAAACAATTACTTTGTCGCCGACCATACCCCCAAAATTAAAAAATTAAGTTCCAATCGGCAGTGAGTTTCAAGACACGTTTGTCTCGCTTCAAGAAAGCTCAAGAGGAAACCTTGAGCCAGGGGAAAAGGCGAAGAATTACCAAACTTGCCAAGCAAATGTGACACTGGAAATCCGAAGATGAGTGTGATCTTTCTTTCTGAAAGATCTAAGCAGATCAGATTCTAGCAGTCCAAAATGTATTGAAATTTTACATCAAAATGAGTCAAAGGTCCGTGTTGTAATACTCCGCTATGTACCTGGATGATGTAGCAAATGGTATGAATACGTCAACTTGAATTTTTTTTTGTTTCTTCGACAGAGGTTATCTGTTAAACATTCCTGAGTTCAACAGGTTTTTATTCTGCTGCTCCTTGCAAACATGTGTAAATAACCAGGAAGTAAATAGTTCTTAACACTGGAAAATCTTCCTTCCATGTATCAGCACAGCTTATATTTAAATCCTCTGGTCAGTGCAATTCCACGGCTGATTTCCATAAACTCTTCAGTGTGCCTGTTGCCACTACTTCTTTAGTCCCCATTGAACCCGCATAACGACAACAAATTTGATTTAACACTTTTTAATGACCAAAGACACGTCCAAGTTTTTACAAAATCAGTCCCATGTGTGTTCGTCCGGGTGGTTACAAAGCTTTGCAAGCTAATGCATGTCATTGACACGAAACGTCACGATCAAAATAAAACAAAAATAAAATACTGTTCTTCGGCGGTAACAGTGCTCATAAACAAATTTTACCGTGTCATCGATAGATGTATCACATGTGGTATCCTAATTACTTTGCTTGAGAGCTTTACAGTCAAACCGGATGTTCTTTTGATGGGAACTCTGCAAACTTCCGCCGGAACATTGGTATTTTGATTGTACGTTTGAGTCGAGCAAGTTGCAACCTGCGCAAGCAAGTTGCTCAGTTCATTTGGTACCTCGTGACGAGAACTCGTTGAGATTGTCCAAAATGTCTCAAGTGTTACTTCAATATTTTGAAGACAGTTGCGAGATTCTAATTACGTGGATGAGCCACTGAGCAACTACCAAGATCTTCTCGATCGCGTGAAAAGAGCTGTACCGTTTCTTCAAGGCGTTGACGACCAGCAAATGTGACTTTCTCTGGGAAAACGGACATTAACGCTTTTGCGTTAAATGGTCAAGAGAAACGGTTCTAAACGGATACTAAACGGCTAACTCAAACGTTTAAACGGTTTCCATAACCGTTTAAACGGATGGCAAAAATTTAAACGGTTTACCAAAGTTAGAAAACGGATAGCTTAAAGCGTTAACCAAAAAAACAAACGGTTAGCTTGAAACGTTTAACGGTTGACCAAAGTCCAAAAACGGATAGCTTGAACCGTTAAACGGTTAACCAAAGGCCACAAACGGACAGCTTAAACGGTTGAACGGTTAACCAAAGTTCACAAAC